CCGAATCCCAGCTCCAAACTGGACACCATCACAGGTCCTGTCGCCCCCCTGGACGCCCATGGGGATGCAGTAATTGAGCTCCAGGCGGGCGATGTTGCCGAGCCTGAGGACAATGCCAGCTCCGTATGACCAGCGGATGCTCTCAGCCAGCTGGATGTGGGCCTTGGGGCCGTCCCCGCAGTTGAGGTTGCACAGGTTGCCGGCGTTGAGGAAGAAGTGCGTCCTGAAGAGCTCGCCAAAGCCACCCTGGCCAGGTCGGAAGGGCAGCGAGCGGGGTGTAGAGGTGCAGGCCGCCCGCCCAGTATGCTTCTCTACCCAGGTAGTCACCTTCGCTCTGGGGTCCTATGCTGTGCATGCTCAATCCACGGACGCTGGTCGGGCCGCCCAGGTAAAACCGATCAACAATACTTGATGGTTTATCACCAATGGGCACCAACATCCCACCCCAGAGAGAGGCTGAGATGACTGAGTCCAACACCAGCTGCTTATTCAGCTGGAGCTCAAAGTCCTCCTTGAGGAAGCTCACGTCCCCGCCAGTGTAGCCCGCCAGCTCCCGGTTAATTTTCAGCAGGGCTCCTTTCCTTGGTAAGATGGAGTAATTACGAGAGTCGATGACCATCGCGTGCGAGAGCGACGACTTGAGGGAGTGCCCGCTTTCCTTCCGGACAGCAAAGGAGGCCGTTCTCGAGAGGCAGCCCAGTTCTCTCCATACGCCTTCCCACTTCACCGTGTGGCTAGTCTTCCAGATGGGAAAACTGTACTCGGCCGACACTCCTCTGTCCGTCTCCCGAAGCAAGCTCCAAGGGAACTGCCCGGTAACTTTATATAAGTTTACAGAGAAATTTCTGTCAAAGTTCCCGGGCTGTGGTTTGAAGAAGGACAGGCCGTAGGAAGTCTCTTTCGTTCCGTAGGAAAACTGAAAAGTCACCTTTTCGGCACGGCCAAGGAGATTCGGGAGTTTGAGGCCAAGGACCATACTGCCTTCATTGTTCCCAACCATGGTGTTGTAGCTGCCCGTTAATCTCCTTAATTCAGTCACTTCAAAGGTAACGTCTAAGCCGTTTGGAAGTGCATCATCACCTTGACATGTATCTATCAAAACGTCCACTTGTCTAAATATTCCCAGACGGAGCAATTTTTCCCGAGCCTCGTGAGATTTCCGCATGACATCAATCA